GCCGGGGCCGCGGTCCTGCTGGCAGCTGACGGTGACACACGTCGGGCCTGTGGCTGGTAGCCAGCGGCTGGGGTTTCCCCCTGCACACCCCCCGCGTTCGAGGCAGGGGCGCCGGGAGAAGTGCGTCTGGAGGTCGGGGCTTGCGGTGGTACAGGTGTGTGCTGTGTAGCGTCAGCTACGTGGGCCTTGAATTGGTCTTCGAGAATGATGTTGTCACGTTGCAACTGTTCGATGCAGCCTGAGAAACCATCAACAGTCCTCTGGACCTCGCGGGTCTTGTCTGTAAGCACGGAATACTGTCGTTGAGTAGACTGGGAAAGGTCTGTAAGAAGAGAACGTAGCTGATCCATGTCGGCCTTTACGCGCGACAGCTCCTGCTGCGTATCCGCCAGGCGGGTCTGCACTTCAGATACCCGTGCCTTTCCAGCATCCCTCTCAGAGCGAAGCTCGTGTAACTGCCTTTGCACGTGGTCCGCCTCCGCACGCACGGTCCGTTGTACGGCTGCCAGTACGGCGGGGTCGTCAACCGAAGAAGGGGGCACCAGCTGGCCAGTCTGGGCCCTTACAACGCGCAGCTCAGTCACGGCCTCTTCGAGAGTCAGGACTCTGGCGGTGAGCTTTGGGATCGAATCAACTTGGGAATCAGAGAAACGCTGGTTGACAGCATTTTCGGCTTGACAGAGTTTGCCGTAGAGATCTTGTTGGATTTGTTGGGTCTCAGCACGAAGATCAGATGTAGCGGACATCGTGGCGTCACGAAGCTCAATAATCTGGCCCTGGAGAGCTGAGGGAGCCGCGCCGGCGCTGGCGGCAGCAACTGCTTGGAGTTCATCGTGGAGAAACTTGGCGCGAGTATCATTGTGGTCACGCATATGGATAAAACGTGCTTCCAAATGAGAGAACTCGGAGTGCACAGCGGCAAGCTCGGAGCGGTCTTGGCCACGCTGAGCGGCAACAGCATCGACCTTCGAAACGAGTTGACACATGACGTGACGATCCTCGTACAACCTAGCGTCGACTTCCTGCAAACCTTTAGCGAGATCCGATCGCAAGATCGCAGTCTCAGTGGCGGTTGCCTGGTGCACGAGAGCAGTCTGATGCTCCACATACGTCTGTACCTGGTCTCTTAGCTCAGCCATATCTGTTAGGGGGACGGCGGCAGGCGCAGCCACAGGTGAGCTGACAGCGCGTCTTCGTGCCCTCTGGGAGGGACTGCGGCTGTGCAAATCCTGGGCTGCAATCTGGAACTGTTCGGGGCCACGTCTGTCACGAGGCGAAGCTGCGCGAGAACGAGAAACAGTGACTTGACGACCGGCGAAGGCTGCGCCGTCGCGGGTCTGAGCACGAAACTCGAGGGCGCGGACGTGCTCTCGGACTGGCGTCACGGCACGGGTGACTGGGTTCCGTCCTGGCGCGCCGGCGTTCGCGTGACTCCCGCCCCAGCGGCGAGATCCTCCAGAGCCTCTCTGCACGGGACTTCCCTGTGGAGGCGAAAGAGCCTCCGAGGCGAAAGAGCCTCCGAGATTTTGAGGAGGTTGAGGAGTCTGGAGCTGAGGAACTCCAGGAGCCACAGGGTGTCTCGCTCTGACAGCATTTCTGGGCGGATCATTCCGTGGCACGAGGACCTCAGCGCTCTGAAAGAGATGCTGCGCAGCACCCGAGCTGCGGTCTCCCGCTGCATCTGACACGACGGGCGACGCGACGGGATGAACGACTGACGACGAGGAAGGGGCCTGGAACTGAGGAGTACCAGGAGCGTGTCCTTGTCCAGCGTCAAGACCCTCAATACCTGGAGAAATGGCCACACGATCAGCTCGCGGGATGCCATGCACGTCCATCAAAACTTCAATCTCCTGCTCCAAGTTGCGCGCCACGGGGTCCGCCACGCCGTCGCGAAGAGGCGCGGGGCCGAGAGGCGCACCGCCCTCCATCGCGACTGAGTGGGGGGCTCAGGAAGCGCGGAAGTTGGAGCGATTGCGTTTTGAACAGAGAAGGCTGATAACCTGTGTGAGGGGGAGGGGGACCGAAGGACCGAACCCACCCCCAAAGTGTCCGTAGGTAGACGTGATGAGGATGATGGAAGTTGTCCTCTTCACCCTCTGTGTACGAGTACCTTGAGCCAAGCCGAAAGGGGCGATGGATATGAGCAAGATAGGAGGAAAGTAGGGGGATTCACGCACAAGCCGCCCTGGGACAGGAGCCCCCGACAACGACAAAGTTTATGTTATACCGTTCTTCGCTCGCTGATTCTGGGGACCCCTCTGGACCGATTCCCTGAGCGACTCCGAAGAAGAGTGGTTTGCACAGGGTGTGGTTTGCAGCCGGCACCCGCGGGAGGCACCTCCCTGGAAGGGCGGCGGCGGGGACCCCGATGACTAGAGTTCTCTCCGCCGCGCGCCGTTGGAGGCCGACAAAGGACACGACGTCGTGCCCCCCCAGGGCCTCAGCGGCGCCGACCGCAAGCCACACCCTGGCGTACGGTCGAGGCGTTGACCTAAGAAGCCCTGAATAAGGGACGAGGCCCCTTTTTCCGTAAGTCACGCTTCGGCCTCCCATCGAAAACTGAAGGGGAACCTTGGGCAAGGTGTGGAACAGTTGAGGAACATCGAGCCCCTCCCCAACGAGAAGGGTTCCTTCTTCAGCGCCCCGACTGTAATCACCACACCCTTCGGAGACGCCGATCTAGATATAGGAACAAAAACTATGCACGTGCACCGATTATGGCCAGGCCCATCCTGAGCCCAGGACCGGTGCACGTGCCCTCCTGCCTTGGCCAAGAAGGCATGCATGCACCGATCCCGGGCACACGATGGGCCTGGCCAAGATCGATGCACGAGCATGGTTTTCTTCGCCCAGTCTAGGGGCCTCCCAGATGAGGTCCGAGTAGATGGGGTCGGAGGGTCGCGCCGCATCGCCACTGCATCGCCGATGCACCGACGATGCATCGGCGATGCATCTTCGACGTCGGCGGTGCATCGGCGAATCCAGCGCGGAAAACATCTGGTTCTATATCGAGCCGCATCGCCAATGGCTTGGCGATGCGGCGCGAACCTCCGACCCCATCGGACCCCATTTGAGAGGCGTAGAACCTTTTGGGAGGCCCTTTCCAGGTCCCAGGACCGTCCAACAATCGGCAGAAAGCCCGGGGAGAAATCTCCAACCGGCCCCGAAACGCTCGGAAGTCTCCCAGCCTTCTGAGAATGTTCTAAGCATTCCCGGAAGACACAAACAACTTCTCAGAAGGCGCGAAAGCTTCTGAGAAGACCCGCCGCCTTCTGAGAAGGCCTTCTCCTTCTCAGTTTCCCCCCTCGCTCGCAGCCGAAACAACGACTCGGGGTTAGCAGCTGATCCTGGGAGAACGGTCCAGACCTGCGGGGGCTCCCGCTGTGACAACATCACAATGTCGGAGGTCTGGGGGAGGGGGCGGGGAGCAAAAGCGGTGCTTCCTTTCGCAATGCCACTTCCCTACGCGGAAGGCGCACACCACCACCACCATGCCTGACCGAGGCCATCCTGTGTCCTGCAGCCCAGAATGGTGATAGCCAGGCATGGTGGCGGTGTCTCCTGACAATGCCTGATTCGGATTACGGCAGTGTCGCTTCCTTCGTCGACACGCCTGGTACATCTTGGAGCCGTTGCTAAGATGAGGCCAGACACAGCTCAATAGGCCGTAGAGCCCGCGTTTGCGCGTCGCTTTTCTGCCAGATCCAAGGCAGCGATCCGTTGCCGTGATCCCAAGCAAGTGGCTGGGCCAATCCGAAGCAGCAGTTTCTGGATCGGGGAAGAATCGAGGATCGCGGATCGCGGTCTGGGATGCCTGACGCCCTCTCTGTGGGAGGCCTGGAAATGGGCACCAACACCAAGACAGAGGGCTGCCTCCACAGGGGGGAGGTGATCCTAGATTTCGGTGTTGGTGGTAATACAATATTTCGGCCGCCTGGGAAGCCAGAATCTTACCACCATTACCGAGATCGGGATCTTCTTCCCTCGGTGGAGGAACACCGCCGATCTTGGTGTTGGTGCCAACCTCTAGGCCTGCGACTCTGGGCATCCTGGAACGCCCTCGTCGCCGCGGCAAGACTCGTCTCGGAAGCCCGGCCAGAGCGCACTGTCGGCTCCTACGGAGAGGACCCCGACCCTCGGTCGTCGCGAGAGAGCAGTGACGGGCAGCTGTCTCAAGACTTATGCGTCCAGCAGCCCGCTTCTGGGCCCCAATAGGGGGCAAACAAACCTACCTCGCTTTTGACCGCCCTCGCTTCCAAGAGAGACCAGGTGATGCCAAACTACGGCCCGTACTGGTCAGGCCGCCTGACGAGGGGGCGCGTGGTATGACTTGGTTTTGCCTGGAAGCGAAAGCGGGGTAGGTCATTCACGCTCGGCCCCAAGGCATCGAAGATCGACTCTGGAAGACGGGGCCAGCCCCGATCGATGAAGGGGCCAACAATTCAGGGGTCCGCGGATTGAGCAGTTCGATGAGCTGCATATCTTGGCACGTCTGCCCCGCATTGGGGCGGGATCGAAACACACACACACACACACACCACCGGGCTTCGACACCTTGATGATCTCTGAATTATCTGAAGATGTCTCGAGCGCCGCGGGCTTCCGATTGCAGTGTGGCCAGAACTTCCATCCCAACTTCTAATATGCCGGTCAGGTCGCAATCCTGAAGTGACAACGCGAAAACTCATACTCAGAACCAACAGGCATGTGAAAAAAAGTAGGCCCTGCTTTTCACAAGCTTCAGAAGTCATTCCGACTCAGGACATAAGGAAGCTCTCACAGGCCACCCCTTGCTGTCTCTACGAGGGGGGGGAGGCAGGAGGGGAGAGAGAGGATGGCGACGAGGAAGATGGGGTAAGGAGGGGGGGGGGGGGGGCAGGATGGGCGAGAGAGCGAGAGAGGATGGATGTAGCAAGGAGACTATGGGGACAGAGGAAGGAGAGGCGGCTGCGAAAGTCTCCTGTGTGTACCGCTTCTTCTCCCCACGAGGAGAAGGCTGGGGCGCCCCGCGGCATGGGATCCGCGCGCCGCAAGGGGGGGGCGTGCCGTCTACGGACACTGCACTTGCGAAGAGCAGCAGCAACACGTGGAGAATATGGGCAGGGAAGGCGAGCGAAGGACACGGCGGACGATGAGGACGACAAAAAACCTCCGGAAAATGCGGAAGACGAGGCGAACGATGGAGATCAGGAGGATCCGTGATGCCATCTCGAGGTGCACGTTCCAGCGCCACTAGGTTACCTCTGCGCGTCACAAGCAGGTGTACGTGCAGGCGCTCCACGAAGGGGGATGACGAGAGAGGAGGGAGAGGAGGAAGGGGGGAGGACTGGCACAAGGATATCAGGAGCCGCGGGACGGCGACGCAACGACAGCAGGAGCGGATGGCGAATGCGACAATAAAGAAAATTGGCAGACTAGCAACAACAATGGTATTAGCAGGAGGCTGAGGATACGGAGAATGTTCAGGAGATGAAGTAGAATGAGGAGGGGTGGAAGACGATAATGTTGAGAATGAGGGGCAGGAAGATGGGGAGGAGGATGGGAAGAAGAAGGACGATAATGATGACGGTGAGAAGGAGGAAGAAGAGGAGGAGAAAGGAGGAAGAGAATAATAAGCTGAGAGAAGTGAGAGAAGAAGGGTTGGGAAAGGGAAGGCGGAACATGATGGGACGAGGGAGAAAGAGGAGAACGAGGAGAGAGGAGAGGAGGGGGAGGGGAAAAGAGAGTAAGCAGGAGGGGGGAAACGAGCGCGGTCCTCAACTACCTCCTCGATCCCCAAACCTCCGACGTCGTGGTTGATCATGGTACGGACATTCCAGAACCCTCGACCCCTACTCCAAGACAAATCTCCCGCAACGGGCCGCTCCCTGATGAGTCGAGAAGCGGGCCCAGGAAGACCCGCGTCCGTCGCGATGTAGTTCTGAGCTTAGCACACGCAGCCCAGAGCACCGCCCTGGCATCCTCTTCCTCCACATTCGCATCCTCCTTGGATTATTCCTCCTCCCTCCTCCTCCTGCTCCGTCTCCTCCTCCCCGTCCCCCTGCCCGTCCATGCCCCCCTCCCCCTCCCCCTCCCTCATCTCCTTCTCCTCCTCCTCCTCCTCGTCCTCCTCCTCCTCCTATACTGCTCTCCTCACCTGGTGGCGTCCAAGAATTGAGTGTTCGGCACACAAGATCCCTGGGAATTAGGACTTCGCTTGGCGCCGAAACGCTGGCCTCATGTTCGGGCTACCGCTCGTTCCGAATCGTGTTCCCGCTGCAACGGTGGCCTCATTTTCGGGCTTCCTCTCGTTCCGAACCGTGTTCCCGCTGTAGCGCTGGCGTCTTCATGTCCAGCGCCATGCCACGGCATGGTTTCCGGTCCTTCCAGATATGCCACAACATTCAACCATTGCCCCCCGAACGAACCATCGGAAGTGAAACACATTCGGTGCCGATTCGTTGCTTTTTGAGCCGCAGAAGTCCCCCCCCGCTTGGGGCGTCACCACGCCATGCTATGTCAGGCTCCGTGTCCTCACTTCCGCGCTTTGGCGCTTGTTCAAAATGCTGTTCTCGCTGAAACGCTGGCCTCATTTTCGGGCTACCGCTTGTTCCAAGTCGTGCTCCCGCAACAACGCTGGCCTCATTTCCGCGCTTTCGCTCGTTCCGAACCGTGCTCCCGCTGCAGCGCTGGCGTTATTAATTCCAGTGCCACGCCACGGCATGATGCTCGGTTCTTCAAAATAGGCCCCAGCATCTATAACATGACATCGCGAAGAAACTATCGGAAGTGATTACACATTCGGTGTCGATTCGTTGATTTCTTGGGCCGCAGAACCCCCCCAAGTTTGGGGAGTCGGCACGCCATGCTATGCCAGGCTACGCGTGAACATATTCAAAACCATGCTGTGCCATGTAATGCTATGCTATGCTACGACATGCGGGTGTGCGAATAGTAAGGAGATCTTCGCCATGGTAAGGGATGGGAGGGAGGGGTAGGACGTCAGATATGACGCGAGTGCACCTAGCTTGTACTTCTTCTCGTCCTCCTCCTCGTCGTCGTCCTCCTCCTCCTCCTATCCTTCTCCTCCTCCTCCTCCCGCAATTTTTCTCCGCTATCTGGATCCGCCTGTGCCTCTGCGTCGGCGTCGCCATCGGCCGTCCACTCGGACATTGTTCCCGGGTTCACCAATCAGCAAGCGACCCAACGAATGAGGCAGACAAAACACTTCACACAATGATTCGAGGACTCCGGATTGCCCATTTCGTGGAACAGCATCTCGCATAGTTCTGGATAATGGTCTAACACCTGGAACGGCGACCATACGCTGGGATAGTCCTGGATGTGAAAGCCGATGATGTAGAATCGATTAGCCGGGTCATGCGCGTTGTACCAACGCCAGCGCTTCATGAGCTGGAAAATCTTTGCGTGCCTGTCCCATCGCTGGCACGGGACAGCGCGCCCCACCCAGCAATTATCCCACCTGCCTCCTCGACGGAGGTGGTGTCGGGAATATCCTCTTGTACCTCCCTTTTTTTCCTCTTCCGGGAAGGGTTGATCACTGCTCCCTATCAAGAAAAAAACCGTCCCCAAGCCGACAGGTAGCCAATCCAGACCCATTCGGCCACCCCTCCAAATCCCTTTCCAACAAAAAACTGTACCAAGCGCGCGTTGCACCAAAAATCCGCATCATCCGCGGACGCCCCGCGATCACTTTCCGCTGGTTCTTGAAAAAGCGGCGCATGTTGCCCGCGGCGTCTAATGCCACCACCCCAAACCATCCCTGGGCACAAAGCAATGCAACATACAGTCTCCACCAACACCCGACATCCTGCATCATGCGCGGACGCTCCGCGACGATCATGTGGCATTAGCGTTTGACAAATACGGGGGGGAGGGCATATTAACTGCGGTTTGCAATGCCACCCCCCGAAACAACCATCGCAAAACATAATACGAAACAACCATGTTGCATTCCTTTTGGCCCAAAGAAGGCCCCAAGGTAAACAAAGAAGACCCCAAGACACCGCCCAAACGGGACGGTCCAAAAGGGCAGCCGAATCGCCGCGCGATCGGCCAAAGACGCCCCAAAAACGTTCCACTCGGCCCCAAAGAGAGCACTGTAAGGTGTTGCCCCCGCTTGCTGTAGCACGCGTTTGTAGGACACACATGCTATATATATTAGGATGAAGGCTCTTCAAAATATGGCGCAGGGTCCGCGCCTGGAACTCACGAAAACGTCGTCTGGCGCCCTTGTCTAGCCACGCAAAATTCTAATACGATGTAACTTTGACATTTTGTCGAGCAACAAGGAGTCCCGCAATACCTTCCACTGTCTCCCCGCACGGACGGACGTATGCTTCCGTGCCCTGGAATATTCTTGAACAGCCCCCGCGCTCGCCTAAATACTTTAACCAGCTCTGGCTTCACGTTGCCAGAACTGTAGATCGTCGCCCCCGATGCTTCATGTGTGAAGTAGCTGGAGTCGGGCTTCCATTTGGGACTAACATTTGGATATTGCGACTTGTTTGTGCAAGTTGAAACTTACCCCCAGCGAAGCTGCGTGTCATCTTGTGCTCCTGACACTGCACTTGCGACAGCCAGTGCCTGTAGTGAACCATCGTGCCACCAGGTCGAGGTGCCATCGGCGTACAACCGAAGAGACTAACCACCAGCAGCAAGTTCTCTGAACGATGTCTTCTGCGATTTTGAGAACCAGACTCATCACCATGACAAAAAGGAGCGGCGAAAGCGTAAACCAGCGAAATTCCCAATCGTTGGTTCATGATGCTTGATATTTGTTGTCTGCTTCGCAAAATGGATGTTCTCATATATGCTGCCTATGAGAAACAACGTGCGCGGTGGTACACCACACACCCGCAATGAGTCCGAATCAGCAGTCACGTTTGCCGGCTGATGTTATCATGTTTCGGCACAGCGCATCTTAAGTGCAGCGGATGGCGGTGATCAGTACGCCTCGGTCGGCACCTTCACTGGCGGATACCATCATCGATTCCGAAGTGCCCCGGCCGGGAAAGACCGCGGCATCTCCCGGCGCAGTCGAGTTTGCGCTATTCCTCAAATGCCACGCTTGTCACTTAGAGGCTAGAATCTGCCCAAACTTCAACAACTCGCAACGCAACTCGCTTGTTGGATCCGACGCCGTGCCCCAAGACGTTCCAAGCGGCCCCCAAGAGGGCGCTGTAAGGTGTTGCCCACGCATGCTGTAGCACACGCTTGTAAAACACCCATGACACATAATGATGAGGCTCGTCATAATATGGCAAAGGGGCCGCGCCTGGAAACCAGGAACAACCGCCTGGCGCCCTTGTCTAGCCACGCAAAATTCTAATACCACGTAGCTTTGACATTTTGTCGAACAACAAGAAGTCCCGCAATGCCCTCGGCATTCTCTCCGCACGGACTGACCAGCGTGCCATCAGATCGAGAAGGTGTCATCAGCGCACAACAAAAGACACAAATCACCAGCGATAAATGCTCTGAACGATGTCTTGCCCTGCTCGTCATCTGCATCTGCGGTTTTGAAGACCGGGCTCATCGCCATGACAAAAAGGAGCGGCGAGAGTGCAAATCTGCGACATTCCACGTCGTTGTTCCATGATGCTTGATATTTGCTGCCTGCCTGCGTCGCAAAATTTAATGTTCTTGTATACACCGCCTATGTGGGAAAACATGCGTGGTGGTAAACTACACACCCGTAATGAGCCCGAAACAGCAGTCACGTTGGCCGGCTGATGTTATCACGTTTCGGGACAGCGCTTCTTAAGTGCAACAACTGGCGGTGATCAGTACGCCTCGGTCGGCACCCTCACTGGCGGATGCCATCATCGATTCCGAAGTGCCCCGGCCGGGAAAGACCGCGGCATCTCCCAGCGCAGTCGAGTTTGTGCCATTCCTCAAATGCCACGCTTGTCACTTAGATGCTAGAATCTGCCCAAACTGCAACAACTCGCAACGCGACCCGCTCTTTGGACCAGACACCGTATCCAAATGCACTAATCTTCTGGCTTCAGGA